GATATTGATACTTGGCAAATGCATATCGATAATCGAATCGCGGGAGAAAGTATCGTCACACCCCTATTAGCGGAACTCGCCTATTTTTGGGCATCGTCTGGTCCTCCCGGTTCTGCGCAGTTGACGAGCTCCCATGATGCTTTGCGCCAAATACGCGTGCGTGGCTGTCATGCACAGTGCACATGATCAGAGTGGAAGTTAGAGCGGGAGTAAGAGCCAGACGAGTAGAGTTTGTGGCAGTAAAATGTGGATTTAAAGAAAACTAGGATTTAAGAAGAAAAAATTCAGGATGACAAGGGACACTAAAATCCCCACAAAATCCGACCTTTATGAAAGCTGTAGGTTCTCTGTCTGCTGAGGTCGAGCTGTTTTAGTTTACATTGAGTTCTATGGGGACAATTTCTGGGTAGCCCACGTGAATTTAGTTTGCAGTACCACGAGAATCTCCCGAGCTACAAGCTAGTAATACCCTATCCAGTTATTATAATAGATCCATGTATACAACGCACCTGTGGCACAACCATGGAACTATAATAATAACTGGATAGTGTATTCCTAGCTTATAGCTGTCCCACCCATGGGCACAGGGGGCGCTGTGGTACTGCAGACTAAATTCACGAGGGCTACCCAGAAAAAGTCCCATAGAACTCAATGTAAATTAAAACAGCTCGACCTCAGCTGACAGAGAACCTGACAGAGAACCCACAGCTTTCATAAAGTTCAGATTTTCTGGGGATTTTAGTGTCCCTTGTCATCCTGAACTTTTTTTCTTCTTAAATCCTTCTCACCCCCGCTCCTCGGAGCTTACGTCACTCACATTTCCTGTTCAAATCTTCCTCTAAATGGGCGTAGCCTGGAGGACTAAAGGGGGCGTGAACGAGACTGGGCCGTTTACATAGCTCTGGGCGGGGGGCTGCTGACGTCAGGTCTCAGGCGCCAGATTCAAAATTCAAATGTAGTAACACAGGTCGCCAGCAGATGGCGCCTCACAGATGGTTTTAGGCAGAAAGTTTAACTTTCAACTAATTTGCACCAAAGTGACAAAATTATGACCAGGATATGTAGACAACACTATTGGACACTCATTTATACCGTTTATCAGCAAAAAAAAAGTGGGATTTGAGGGTGAGTTGTCCTTTAAATCCACATTTTACTGCCACAAACTCTACTCGTCTGGCTCCCGCTCTAACTCCCGCTCTAACTCTCGCTCTGATCAGCAGCTCTGATTGGTCAGAGCACGGCCCCTCTGTGCACGTGCATGACAGCCACGCAAGCGTATTTGGCGCAAAGCATCATGGGAGCTCGTCCACTGCGCAGAACCGGGAGGACCAGACGATGCCCAAAAATAGGCGAGTTCCGCTAATCCCTCAGGCTCGTGAAGTCAGTTGATTCACTGTTTTGCCAAAGCCAAATTCATTAACAGAGCAGGTCGGAGCATGAGTGGGGGCATCATGGCTCCTTGAAGGTACTAACAAACTTTTGGCACAAACTTAATTTTGATATTTTTTTTCATTTAGACTTTAATTGTTGCTGTTTGAATAAATAAAAACATCTTAGATCATTGTTGTGTTTTTTTCTGCATTAACAAAAATGCTCCTCGCTTTAGATTAGGGTACTGCAAAATAGTGTAATAAGCAGTTTATTAACGCATATTTTTAGTGGCCTATTACCACTATTGCCTATTAATAAGCAGCGTATTAATATCTTTATAGGCATATTGTTAGTGGCCTATTAACATGGTATCGATAATAGTTTAATAAGCAGCTTATTCATATATTTATAAACATATTCCTCCTTTAATAAGTATCTTACTAATTACCTATTAAATGCTTAAAAGCATATAACTAGAACAACATCATTTAGAGAATAGTGAAATGAGCAGCTTATTAATATGTTTATAAGTACATATAAGCACTCTATAAGCATGTTGCTAATGTCTATTAATACCTTATTAATACTTAACAAGCACACCTTAATATAAAGCGTTACCCATATATTTAGGTATTTCTTACGACAACAGTATTCTGATAATCCAACAACCTGCTAAAACATGCATGTAAATTGTACAAAATTAAATACATAAGCATTTTCGGAGGTTTCCATCTTGATTTGTAATAGTTACTGTAAAAACTACCCTCTGTGATTGTGACACCAAAGTGGAATTCATCTTTATCATGTCTTGTGGGTCGTGATGGCACTTTTCAAACACCAATCATGCATGAATTTTGAATGCAATTAACTGCTGAGTATCAATAAAACATAACTTTAACTTTAACTGATCAAGCTTTATTGAATGGAGTTCTCACAAATTGTCCCAAGGCAAACGTAAACATTTACATTTCACGGTTACCGCTTCTTTCCAACAGCTGTGCCGCACTGTCACACCTCACATCTCTAATGGCCGCCACATTGCTCTTTAAACTGCACTTCAGACACACACAAACATAAATCATGCCCTGAACTAATGGATCTATAAATGGAGCTCATCTTTGAAGTAACATATGCCCCATAGTAAATGACATTGGAACATCACTAAAAGTGAAGAGTGTTTGTGCCTCGACCAAAGATGCTGCGGATACAGTGTTGGAACCAGGAAGCCACGGCCGACATCACTCACTCGGCCACCCACAGGAGCAGGGTTCAAAGTGTCAAAATGTTAAATGGATTTATATTGAGGACTGGGGAGAAGCTTCACTGACCCTGATGTACAGTACACATGGCCCAAAAATATGCCTTTGTGGAATGATGAATGAAAAGCATATATCAAGAGACCTATGAGCTTGGCTTCCATTACTTACATTATTTCAGTATTTAGCACTTTGCACGTGGGAAAAGTTGCAGCTGTATGGGTTGATACTGGTTTTATGACAAAAGTGTGCAGAGAATAATGAATTGAATTGCATCCAAGAATGTTTTGAAGAAAAAAACAACTCATTGTGGTTTTATATGATCATTTATGGACATTGGTCATCTGCCCCTTATGGACCAATGGCTCTGATCTGTGTTAACTACTGTTGTGATTCAGGGCTATACAAGAATAAGTTTAATTGAATTGAATATTACACAAATAATTATATTTATTTGCCACAACGTGTATTAGTACTGGTTGTATATGATAAAAATATAAATTGTAACACCTGCAACTGTATACACAATAGAAGACCCAATTAAATCTTCACAATGCCCCTTTTCCCCCTGGTGTCTCATAAATATATATGGAGTAGAAACCCAACCTTACATGACCCAGTACCTAAAAGTAAACTTGGACACAAACTATACCTTGAATGGTGAGTCCCTCTGCAACTTGAGGTTTAAATAAAACACACACTAGCTTCACTCCCACATAGTGACAGTATCCGGGGATGAGAGAAGAGCGTCTGAAGCTTAAGAGTCCCATTGAGAATATGCACGCTTAGGCATACCAGGCCCAGAGCAGGGCTGAAATAGGTCTCAATCAAATCAAGGTTGAAAAAGTGTTGAAACAAGCCTAAACTAAGAGTGTGAATAACCGCGAATAATCCTGGTCTAGACTGTTTGCAAACCAGGATTTTAACTGTTGGAACTAAAACCTGCAGCCTAACTGGCCCTTTCTGGAACCGGTTTGAGACCCCTGCTATAGAGACCATGCCGACATAAGAAATTTGTATTTATTATTATTATTATTATTATTATTATTATTATTATTATTATTATTATTATTATTATTATCATCGTCATCGTAATATGAAATGTATGTTTTTGGACACATAGGCTTCTCATTCTTTTTGTTAATTGCAAACACTATGGGTGACGTCATCCCTTTGTCAGTCCAACCCCAATATCACTTACACAAAAAAAAAATCTGAAAATCAATCACAGAGCCCTATACAATACCAAAAGTGGCCGGGGTACTTCCTGAGAAAATCACAGATAGAAACTGAATAAACCCGGACTAAACCAGAACTAAAGGCCTATTGGAGATGAGAGGAGAGCGTCCGGCCCGAGAACCGCAGCCCCCATCAGCAGCTGTGAGCCTCCCACAGAGAAAGCGCCTGGAGTGCACATTTAAGCAGCCAGTGAAATTTACTGAGCCGCAGTGGGGCTCTATGAGAAGGAGGTGAGGGAACTGTCTCCCCTCAGGGCTCTGCCAAACACAAAGAGAGACTATACCAGGACAGAGCACACTCTGTTTCCTGTCCCCGTCACTTGTTGTACATGCAGAAGTGGAAATGAACACAAGGGTTTCAACAAGAGGTTCCCAAGCCATCGAGCACTGCAGCCTTTGACCTACAAGCTGACCCAAGAGCTGCCTCCACAGATGTGTGTGAAACCTTTGCCACAATAAAAGATTAAAGAGAGATAATTATTGTCCACCAGAATCATAAAGTTGACAAAATTACGCCCACATCAAGTTATTAGAATTGGTTTCAGGCATTTGTAAGACTTTTTAAATTCCAGAAAGTTGGAAATGTAGTTGCATTGTGAATTTGTTGGTTACTGTACAAAGCTGATTGGAAGAGCACAAGTGCCCAGTTTAACTTTTCTATATGAAAATGGACAAAGCCCATAATGTGAAGATTAGTCAAATTTTAAGAGCACCGGGAACTCTTTAGAAGTTGCACATTTTGCAGTCGGAAACTCAGGTAACCCCAGCATTGAATTAGTTGGATACAAATGAAACAATACAACAAGACATTTCCTCTCTACCCTCTACAAGACATCATCTCCAAAGTTACAAATCTAATTTAATGTTGGGTCCTTGAATAGAAACAAGCGTTTATGCTACGGATAAAGGGGTTCCATTAGCAGCTAAACGCTTTGGCCTTTTAACTTTACAATAAAAGGAACTCAACATTCAGCTAAAAAAAACACGAGCAAAAAGCAAACAAGCAGCAGAAGACAAATAGCTTTACTTTATCACACATCAGGGAGGAGGGAGGTGATTTTCAAGGTCATGGGAATGGGTTCATATGAGGACAGACAGCTCCAAGCAGCAGCTCTGGACGTGGCCGGACACTTACCTTCACGTAGGCCGTGTAGGGCTGGCACTGCTCCTTGTTGATGTCCAGACTCAGCTGTTGGCTCAGCTGAGAGACCTGGGAGCCGCCTTGTGAGAAGTAGACGCGAGACGGCTGGCTCTTGTGTCTCTTATCTGCGTCTGCAGTCAGGTTGTACAGCAGCTCTGAACACAAGGAAACAGCAAATGTGAACAAATGAGAAAAGGTGTTATTGGTTTGAACCAGAAAATGAACAAATATTGAAATGAGAAATGAATGTAAAACAGGATGGTTCCAAGTATATTCTATGGAAAAACTGGGTCTGACAATATTGGAGAAGGTAGTTCAAACCAACACAAAGGTAAGACTAGACTAAATTGAGTAAACATACAGTAATAACAGCAAAGGAGACTCAGTAGGACCAAGACTTTTTTGCTGACTTAGATCATAAGATAAGGTAAGACCAAAACGTTGTTGATCTCAGAATGGAGAAATGTACATGTTCGGGCGACAGTAGCTCAGTTGGTAGAGCATTGGCCTTTGAGCCAGAGGGTCGTGGGTTCGAGCCCGACTTTCACCATCGACTCCCACTGTCTGCTGTCGTTGTGTCCTTGGCAGGACACTTAACCTCTGGGAACACCAGCCACAGTGGGGCGGCTGCGGCTGTAAAGTGCCAAACTGCCGTTGTGTCCTTAGGCAAGACACTTTACCCCCATTGCCCAGAATGAGTCTGATGTGTGTGTGTGAATGATTGGTGGTGGTCGGAAGGGCCAATGGCACATACTGGTTGCCTCGCTTCTGTCAGTGTTCCCCAGGGCAGCTGTGGCTACAGTAGTAGCTTATCACCACTGTGTATGGAGTGAATGAATAATGACATGTGAAGCGTCTTTGAGTGTCCAAAAAAGCGCTATATAAAACCAGTGCATTATTATTATGTTTCATTCAGCATAAATAGGATTACTCAGGGTTTGCAAACAACAGGAAATGTGCAAACATGTTAAGAAAGTGAAAAGATATAGAGTATCTTAAGTGCAATAAAGGAAATTGACAACAAAGTCATCAAACAATCTGGATCACATTTTGTGCTTTCACAGCTTGAATTGAATCAGGACCTAAAAGGGTAACTACAATACAAAATGCTCCTCAGTCTGGAATATTATCAAAACATGTCACGTTGATTCAAGAAGCAAAAGGAACTGTCATATTTTAAACAGCTAATTGCTTTGACAACTTATAAAAGTATGCAGACTTGGAGTTGCTGGTGACTCCAGTCAAAAATGAGCTAAAATAAATTATACTTTATGACAGTCAAATAAATGTGGGATGGAATTTTGGATACTTCTTTGGGTCATTTTAATTTTATTCTGACACTATTTCACAACTCAACAAACACTCATTGTCTAAGACTCTAAGCTAATGAGCTGTAATGTCCGTCAATTTAACATAATTTTCAGTGGCTTGCTTCCCATCCAATTAGAGACAGATTTGATTTGTAGATATAACACAACGACCAGGGTTGTTTGGTGCATAGAAAGCCAAATGGTGTTAATAGGAAAACTTAGTGGAGGAGGAAACTAATTTAAATAGCTGGTTCAGAAGAAAAAAATATGTGTGAAAGCATTGCAATAACATCATAACATCTGTAAAGCTTGCGGTTCCACCCTAAGTGACACTAAAGCCTGTAAATGAAACTCGTTTTGACTGAAATCATAGTTTTTCCCCAGAAGCCCATATTTGGTCAGAGGGACATTTAACAGCTATATTCTCAAGCATGAATCAGCCACAGTTTGACTTCAAGCGGGTGTCATAGCGGTAAAAACAGTGGGAGGGGTGGCACTGCACGCCCAGGTTGAACCAAGGCCCACTGTTCCCAGCCATGAGCTCAGACCAGAGGAGGCAAAAGCAGGTTTCATTTTAACAGTGACCAAACACATGCTATTTTCCACCACACACGCCAGACGCACAGACAGAGAAGGCCTATTCACGCGGGCCCCGGCAAGTGCAGTCATTATGTAACAACAGAAGGTCTGGTCCCGTAGGAGGTGGGGCAGGACACACCCCGACACTGGAACAAGACTGCACCTCAGCACTTCCCCCACCACCACGCCCCAAACTGCAGCGCCAAAAAGGTAAACTATCCAACAAGTGCAAGCCATAACGATCGGCTAAGTGTGTAATAGATGTGGGTTTGGATGACTGGGCTCACACATTTACAAGTATCGGTAAATCAAAAAGACAGAGTTCAAGTGAAAAATGTTATTTCACTACAGTACGTTCACGCTGGACCAATTCTGGTTCAGTTGAGAAAAAAAAGGCTTCATTTGAGGATGTAAAACAACCATACAAAATTTATTTTGTATGGTTTGGTTTGAAATGCACAGGTTTGAAATGGAAGAAATCAATGCAAAATGGGGAAAAAAATATTGGAAAAATAAATAAATACAATACTTTATTTTCCAAGTGAATTAGTTAAAGTCAACCAGATCAAGAAGTGTGAACGTGCCCTAAGACAATGTATCAGCTAGTTGGGATTTGAAAAATAAACGTACAAGTGTGGTTTAGTGACTTTGTAGTTCCAGTTCAAATAATCTTTACTAAAATAATACAATATATAAATCCCTAAATCCCATCTTTATCTGAGAAGCTAATTTTATTTTTATATTTAAAAATGCATTGCAACAAAGTGCTTGAATGTGGGTGGAATTAATTTGTAAGTGAGAACAATGGCCAATGAGGTATTATTCAATCATATGGAATCAATTTGTATACAATGACAAGGAAAACCAAACTATTCAAACACTATTCAAATCTGCTCAAAACTCAGATTTAAATTACGGAAGTTAGTTAGTTAAACCTTCAGAACACAATTCCACATATCTTTAAACCAATACCGGGTGAAAAAGGGGTTGGATAAAGCAGAAGTGTTTTATTTATTTCCGAATCGACAGTAAAAGCAGTTTAGTTTCACTGCTGTAATTCCAATGTCAATGACACCATTATGTCAAGAACAGGTCGACCACAGCTCAACCACATTAACTCAAAAGACTTAATTGAATTCATTTTATTAGGTGCATTTCAAAAACTCCAGAAGTCAACATTTTGGAAAGAACGTATGCGATCAGTACCAGCCTTGTATTTCATTTGCCACTTTATTTTGTTCCTACATTTGCTGCTCACCTATTTGGCCCGGCAGCTGTCTCCCGCGGAAACGCATGCAGACAGTGACGCTGAAGCAGTTGAGGTTGTGGCTGTTGCTCTCGTGACACTGAGGGACAGAGATGTTGATGGACACAGGCAGCAGGATGGAAACGTCCACAGTGACCACCGGACGAGACCTAAAGACACAGTTAGAGACACGTGAGGCAAGGCAAGGCAAGGCAAGGCTAGTTTATTTATATAGCACAATTCATACACAAGGCAATTCAAAGTGCTGAACAAAACAAGAAAGCATTAAAATCATAAATTATCACAGAACATTAAAAAGAAAGATAAAAATATAAAATCCCTCAGTTGTATGCACAGTTAAACAGAACGTGAGAGGCCCAGCAACACTTCAAAAATACTCCTGGAAATACAATGGTTATGTTTATGTGCTCAATATCACATGATCTGGAGATATGAACGTCAGGAAAGGTGTTCGGTTTCTAAATACATATTTTTAAATTAGATAGGTAAATAGGTAAGGCACCTAACTTTAACATCTGATAACCATTGTTCTTTATTAGTTTGAAAATTGTGTCACACTTTATATATCACTGCTGACTGAAACTCTGTATTGCACTTTTTATTGAACTGTATTTTAATATGCAATAATAATAATACATTTGATTTATAATGCACTTTACATTTAATTGAAATCTCAGTGCTAGTGTCTCTGGTGCAGCCATTTTTTCTCAGCTCATTGTCCTTAATAAATTAAACTTAAACTTAAAACCATAAAAAACTCAACTATGAAATAAAATCAATTCAACTAGTTCCTGGACCTAAAAGAGATTGGTGCTATCACATCTCTTTTCAGTCGGACAAAGTGAAACAGAGAGAGCCACCCTCATATTGGCTCTAAGTCCAAAGTGTCAAATAGTGACACAACAGGATTCTTTCTTAGTAGCAGTGAGTAAGCAAATAATAACATGTTTTCTAATAACATTGATTTTGCTCTTTCTGCTGGGAAAAACAAAATGTGTTGTTTAGGGAAAGAAAAAAGTTAGATATCCCAGCTTTAATTGGTTGAATTGGATTTGTCTTTCTGAAATGATCAGGTAAACAGTCCAAGCTTTAGCAATAACACTGGAGATTGTTTATTGCCCATGTATATGAAATACAATTCACTCTGTAGTGTCTGGCTAAAGTAGTCGATCATACAGTAATATATTTAAGAATGAAGAGTTTAAGAAAAGCAAATAATGTGCAGAAAAATCAAGAGATATGATATAAACAAAACACAAACATTCATGGATCAAAAGAGAGAAAGAAAGATCACCTTAGAAGTACAACGCTGTCTGACATAAACGCGCCGATTGTGACATCTGAAAAACAAAATGGAAAAACTCATCATTACAGGCATAAAATACACATTGAGACTATAATTATTGAATATTCCCTTTTTCTTTCTCCACCTGCAGAGTTTAGACAATGTTCAAGAGTCATGCTGTCATGCTGCCAGCTCAGGAATGCAGTAAACAAGATGCCTCTGCTGCAAACATGCTGCAGGTCACAACGATAAATACATAATACTCATAATAGAGACTTCCTAGCTCTTCTTAATAACACTGTCTAATTATTTTCCCGTTTTCCAGCTTAGCATCACTTTGTAGTCTGTCGGTACCTGCATAACCGTTGCCATCCATGTCCACAGTGCCAGAGATGGACTGGCCAAACATCTGCAGACCAGGGGCCACGCTGCGTCCAGACAGTTTCTGAAACACACAGATTCCAGATAAATTACGGAGGCAAACTCAAAAAAAACAATATGCCATCCAGCCACAATTTATTTCTAGTTTTAAAAAGGTTCATCTCAAATACGCAGGCCATAGAATCCAGCACTGTTTAAAGATTACATTTGATTTGTCTTTTGTTGTGGCTACAATCAATGCACCTGAACATGAATAGGAGCAAAATGGATTCACTTAATGCACTCCAAGCAAAGCAATAACATCTCCAAAAAAGTTAGATGGCGCACCTTTAAATAACCTCAAAGCAACAGAGCTAAATTTAGATGTAAAGGACGGAAATGCACTTCTGAAAACCTATAAACAATGCCCACGCCGAAGACAGGATACAGGGAGAGAGCGCATTCAGTGATATGAACCAGGCGTCTGAACTTTTATAAGAGGGACAGTTTAGTTTACAAGATCTGTCCAGTTGCAGACAACATGGATTGTCAAAATGTTTTATCTCGCTCCCATCTCAGTATGACTCTGGTCTGTGAAAGGCGCTATATATAAAGATTACTTACACACTTACTTATTTACTTATATGAAAATAAAACCTGGACTAAACTGGATTCATAAGTATGTGAGCTTTTTACAGCGAGGTATAGCATGACAATATTAGCTGAAGTTGGCTGGATGACACTGTGAAAGAACCTGAATGGCCTCTTTGTGTTGGCTATGCAGAGGTTCTCATAAATGACACAACGGGCTGCATTTAGAAAAAATACATTTAGAAATACTTTTAAGTGATGGGAGCGAGGTGTAAGGTCAGAGAGTGTTTGGGCCTCTGTCTTGTTTCTGTCTATGTGTGTGCGTGTGTGTGTGTGTGTGTGTGTGTGTGTGTGTGTTTGTGTTTGTGTGTGTTTTTTGTTGTATATTGTGGTTGGAACCAAACAAGCATCGGTTTCATCCTAACCCTTTTCAAGTTTGTTTGTTTTTGGTTTTTGTCTTTGGTACACAAGTTTGAATGTATCACTACTACAACACCACAGGGTCCAACACAAAAGGACGCACAAAAACAGCTTTCAAGGACGATTTAGTTTGACCTAAAGCGAGAAGTGCATGGATCGTTAAAGCATCACGGATTGGTCAGAGTTGAGTCTCACATTTTTGAACCATTATTGATTAGTGTTACAAGCAGCACTGGATTAGACATTGGAAATTAAGTTTAGACATGGCTCATAAAGCAGGATTATATAGAGTTTATGTAGCTACAGCCTGATTGTTGTCCAAAGTTCAAAACAACAGCTACCCAAAGCCCTCAGACAGAGCAAGCCATTGTTCCTACAGGCTGTTTGATGAGAATATGTATCTGTGAAGCTCTTAGTGACTTCCTGGAGGCTAAACTAGGTTAGCTGTTTGGATGCATCCGGTCTTTATGCCAACTTACATCCTCAGCGCTTATAATGAATGAACTCTTCCTTTGATGTTAAAGCCAGCAAGGGCAGTTTTATCAAAGTGGTTGCTCAGATTATGATTTCAAATATACGCACGCAATAAAACGCATGGAATAGTTGAAAACAGATGCGTTCCTACCATGGAGTACTTTTGAATAATCCCTGTGGCATCTCCATGATAGATATAGACTGCTCCACTGTAGTCGCCCTCTTTTGGAGCTCCAATGGCTACATCTGTAATGACAAAAAAAAAAGTTTGTTAACACTGTTGTATCTTACATTTATACATGGTTAATAGTCTGTTGAATGTGAATGGGAAGCTGTTACCGTAAGACTCTTAATAGATAATTAGAGGTGGTTAGTGGCTGTAAAAGGCTTGTGAGAGAGTGGAAACAAGACTATAAAGGTCTGGCAAAAGCATTTCAACAATGCTACCCCTTATTCTCCATTTCCACCAAACACATATGTTTAAAACAATGATAATAAAAGCCCTTTACAATTGTTGTGGGCATTTGTCTCTCACTCATGCATGCCAGATCTATAGTAAATGTTTTTAGGGGTAGGGAAAACCAAAGGAAACCTACACAGAAACGGGGAGAACATGCAAACTCCACTCAGAAAGGCCCCGTTCCGACCGGGGTTCAAACCCAAGGCCTTCTACTAAAAGAAGCATTTTCTTTCTTCCTACAATTTTGACAAAGACCAATGACTTCTGTTTTTATTGGTTGTATTGGTACCAAAAAAATAGTATTAAAATGATTGAAATTAACATTGGTTTTAGCACCGTACATACTTATATAATGTTGCGATGTGCACCTCAAAACTAGTCACGCAAAGTAATAAAAGCAACGAGCTGAGTTTTAAATACATTGCATCTTATCTGGGAGCGCAGAGAGAGTGACATATTTCATGGTGAGGTTTATCCCACAGCTGCCATCGTTCTGCGTGATGCCAGGCTGCAGGCGCTGGAGCAGATCTCACACAAACGAGGCCAAGAAGCAGATTTAAAACTAATCCAAGTCGACACGTGTCCCAAACATATGTGTGTGAATGTGTGGACTTTACACTGGGCACTGCTCCACAGGCATAACATTAGTGGGCGGGATACAGAATGCGAGTTTGTTGGAATGAGTGCATGCAAAACATCAAAGAAATGCTTGGATTTTCACAATAAAGTAATTCCCATGAACTATCAAAGCTGGGAAACAACAACATACACACATTAGTCGAATGTGTACAACTGTCATGGATAAGGGCCATTAGAAGCTGCAAATCTGTTTTTGAAGATGCAGATTTCATCGGTTCTTCTGTCATTTTCCCATCACTTTATGTTTTGATTTGTGTAACTACAAAATGGGACAAAACAATATTATCAAACTCAAGCAAAAAGGTTAGAACAATAAGTGTAAATGAATAATGATTTGACAGTTGTTGCATTAACCATAGATCTGAGTAACCCTGCTGACCCAGGGAAATAAATCTTAACGCCTAATGACAGCACTGGGGATGCAACATTTTTAACAGTTTACATTCTGAGTCAAATAGGACTTAAACAGAACAATGTAGTAATAGTAATAGCACTAGCAGAAGAGTTAGTAGTAATAAAATCCCCATGGACCAATGGTTTTTATCATTGCTTTCCTGTGTTCTAATTGTTTGAGACTAAAATCTAGTTGGAATTTTTTTTTTCTTCCCTTTTTCTAAAGTTCTCCAACTGCTGTTGTGAATTAGGAGTAATTGTTGTAGTTATTGTAACAGTAGTAGAAGTAGTAGCAGTAGTAGTGCATGTTACTAATCAACTTGATCCAGGAAAAATGGATCACATTTCTTGAAGCACTGCAGGCACATCCCCAAGCCCATTCTAAGGAGTTCAGTGAGGTTTTTTGAGCAGGTGAGGCCACTTTTTAAGAGGCAGAGTCCTGCAGAACCAGGGTCACTCCCCTCCTTCTGGGTCACATGTCCAGGAGCACGCACCTATGTAAGTATCTGGAAATAAAATCATACTAGACTCAACAGTGAGGCACAACTTTTTTCCTCACTCGATAACTCTGGGCTAGAACAAAAAAATAAGTAGTGATAGTATATAGTAGTAATAAAATAGTTGTATGAAATAGACAATAAACTGTGGTGTTTTTGTGTTGAAAATACTGTATATACTTGTAGTACTTGTGAAACTATAACCACAAGTAACTGATGACAGGATTGTGGTACTTTTATCACTGAGCAAGACACTGTCAAATGATCTATAAAGCAGATACCATCGACAATGTTTAACAGACGATAATAGCTTTCTTGCCAAAATATATATTATATATTATACCATTATAAGTGTGTGTGTGTGTGTGTGTGTGTGTGTGTGTGTGTGTGTGTGTGTATGTGTTTAAAAGCGTTAGACACCTCTGCTTGCTACAATAGTCTGGTGCATTTTGAACACTGACCTTGATAACCATCGTCATCTATGTCCCCGATCGCCGCGATGCTCTCCCCAAAGTGTGCATTGTACGCACTGTCTCCGGTCAACACGCCGGCCTCCTCCATCACGCCCTGAAACAGAAGCAGGAAAAACAAAGTAGACAGATGAAAGACGACAAATAAACATTCTTCAGCAGCACAATGAAAACCTGCTGCTTTTATCTGATTTTCTCAAATTCCTGATCCCCACAACAGTCGCTTGGTTGTCATCCAAACATCTAAGCACCACTAAATTACAAATAAATGCAAAAAACAGAAGCTTCAGTCTTGGCTGGAAGACTAATCCTGCTCTGTATACGATGTCACGATATGAGTTAGAATGAGAAATAAACGGCGTGTGTGGAAAATCAACACAAGATGAGTTATGGTCATCTGCTATAGGAGCATGTTCAGCTAGTGTTGTCACAAAACTAAAACTACAAACATGATTCTGATACTAAGACTTGATACTCAATATCAATTTCAATACCACAGTTATCATCTAAAAGAAAAATCTTTGGCCAATGAGCTGACTATTCTATCATAATAAAATGTGATAGGACTTAATTTCATAAAAGTTATGAGATAAAAACTATTCAAAAACTGGTCTAGGAATCTCACAATTTGATCCTTTTTGTGATTTTTTTCTAGCCCTTTACGCCCTCTGTATGTCCCACTCACGTTGCCTTTGCTGAGGTACACAGACACTTGGCCCTCGTCCCGGAGCTGGCTGTGCATGGGGGCTCCCACCAGCAGGTCCGACAGCCCGTCCTGGTTCAGATCCACTGCACACAATGAGGAGCCGAAGTAGGAGCCCATCTGAGAGACACAGGTTTGATCACAGTGAGTGGGAGAAAGCAAGCACCTGACAGAATATGGCAGTTAAAACCCACATTACCAAATTAAGAGTTTCTTTGCAAAACAGTGCATCAAATTTTTTTCTTTATAAAATTTTACTCATTCTTGAGAAAATGATTTGGAATTTACTGCCAATAACAAGTAGTAATTGCGCCTGCGTGGAGGGGCTGCACGCCTGTTTGCTCAGCTGAGTGTTTCTTGACTTTTGTGTTTGGTTTTGACTAGGGCTGTCAAAATTATCGCGTTAACACACGTTAATTAATTTTTTTCATTAATCGCGTTAAAAAAATTAACGCATTTGACGTTTGCCCATGCGTCCCATAATAACACTCCGCGGATGCCGCGGACACATGCGTGTGTAAGATGGGGACAGAGCAGGTAGGCCCTCTGGGAATTCAAGTTTTGAAAGAATACATGCGTGACCGCGGGTCACTTGTAGTTTCCTGTATGAACTCTGCATGATGAGCTGCGGGCGCCACAGCGCTCTGGACAGCAGTTCCCACTTCCAGCGGCTGTGATCACGGCGAACGGCGCTGCGTAACGGGATCATATCCAAGACCACGCACAGAACTATTACAGAACTATTCTCTAGTGTGCGTACGTGTCTTTGCGTAACCGATGCACACAATATGTACAGCACTGAAGCTGGAGGAGCCTCAGTCTCCTCCGTGTCTTCTCCCGAAGCGCACTCGCTAAATTAAAGCTGAGGTACCTAATATTCCTTTTGACTACCAGTTCATGTTATAAAAGTAATCGTGTGAGCAAATCAAACAGATTTAATGACATTCTGCATTTCAGACTACTGTATTTTGAAATGTCCCTCATCTGTAAAAAACAATGGTCTGAGTCTAAACAGAAAGACAGAATGTTAATAATGTTAATTCCATTTTATATGGATTTATTGTTATAACAAACAAATAAAAGTTCACTAAGCTGTCATTTATCTTTCCATTCAAACAACAATTTACAGAAAAATATGGCATAATTTTGCCAATAGTTTGAAATGCGATTAATTACGATTAATTAATTTTTAAGCTGTAATTAACTCGATTAAAAAAATTAATCGTTTGACAGCCCTAGTTTTGACATACTTCTCACTACGTCTCACAGAGACGATAGACAAATGTACTGGCACTGATTTGAATGATTTTAATGTATCTTATTTATTATCATTAATGTATCATTTTTAATTATGTTTTTATCTTTTAACTCACTTATGTTTGTATGCTTGTATGATTGCAACCAAGGGACCAATGCACAATTTCCTTTTGGAACATCCATCCATTTTCTTCCCCTTAATCCATTTCTGGGTCGGGGGTGGCAGTCAGAGCTGCACCCAGTACACAGAGCACCAGCCCCTCACTGATCCCCCTGCAGGTGGTGAGTCCACAGGAGACTTATTTATTCAGTGGGGGCTTCAGGCAAAGTGGGGTTAAGTGTCTTGCCCAAGGACACAACGACAGCAGTCATCAGTGGGAGTCGTGAAGTAGGTCTTATGGTGGGCTCGAACCCACAACCTTCAGGCTCTAAGGCCAATGCTCTACCAACTGAGCCACTGTCGCCCTTTTGGATCAATAAAGTATATATCTATCTATCATCTATCTACATGTTTAAGATTGTAATACAACTTTTAGACACATTTTCAAAACAGAGACATCTGTTATTGCAGATTACTCTTCAAATACAATTTACTGAAGCATACCAATGTGGGACAGATAAAAGTGCTCTTATCTTAGTCTTATTACTACCTGTCTGCTCTACCAGTGTTACTACAATGTTAGTGTGCCTCAAGACGTTGCCTTTGGAAAAGATCCAATATCACTTCATTGGTCAAAATAATGTGAAAAGAAAACCAGTTTTCCATGTTTGTATCAGTTTCAGCTGGTGGTGCGTCATGTGACTGTTTTCACTGAAAAGGGTGTGCCACAGCTGAAAAAGGTTGGGGTACACTGTAGTTGCCAACCTATAAAGGCACTAGAATGTAACTTTCTATTTGCATTATGTCTTTGATAGTTTTTTCCCCCATAGTTTTACAAAACATCCATTCATCCATTTTCTTCCGCTTCATCCGTTGCCGGGTTTTTACAATATATATCTATTATAGGTATTAAAATGGCATAACTTGATAAACACCAATACTAACTATGTCCAGTGTAAGTAAGGGGACAGCTTTACTCTTGAATATGGTGTAGTAAAAGTCATTTAATGGCAACAACCCACTTTCATAATATGCAGCGCGCCAATTAAGTTATGCCACCAGCTGCGTGCGTATAAGGCGCAGCGTGTTAGGTTGGCCAATAACACCACTGGAAGATATTTCACTGGGAATTGGCAAAACCAAATCTGAGCAGATTTACAGCCACCTTAATATCCCTCCCCAAACGTGATGAATATTTACACAACCTTTACCTTTTAGCTCCTCCGCCTTCCTGCTGTTTACTTTGAATGGAAAGCATTAGCTACCTCTGGACCTACCTCTGTTTTCGCACAAGTCATTTTTCCCCTGGACTATCCAAACACTTAATCCAGACATAAACAGTGCTCTTCTAACAACAGGATAATTACTCTTGTGTTTTGACTTTGCATCTGAATAAATCAACCACATAATCCTCAAAGCGGGTGACAATAAACACAGCACACCCATGTTTTATTCATGTTAGCCTTAGCGGGACAGAGCCTCCATCCAATATGTCTGCTGATCCGAAACAGGGACAACATATGACCACATCCTACCATTTTCCCTGAGGCCTGAAAAGTCTTCGCCAAAGAGCCGCCATCGATTTTGAAAATGTAGACCTGAACAAGACAAAATGTTGTTATCATTTATATGTGTAATGGCAGTGGTACTTTCAACAGCTGGAAGTCAGTCAATCGTGTTATAAGGATATTATGCTCTCGTGTCCATTTTTCAACAGGATGTGAAGTAAACATTGCATTGGATGTGACATACAAGCATGATTTCTTTAGTTTGTCCTACGGCAAAAGGGAAATGAAACACTTCTTGAAACCACAAGACGCCATTGATTCAAACCTGGGGAATACAGTTTGAATGTTGGCATGTGATTTTTTCTAGCTTGCTTGATTGAAAAGATAACAATGAAAAAGCTTTAGTGGCATACTGCATGTTAAAGCTGGGATACATGACTCTCACTATTTTTCACATGCATGTATTTTTGCCATGCATCTCCCACATCTTTAGATATTTTTCAGCCAATCAGCTCCCAACCCAAAGCATCAAATAGTGACTCACAGGGCTCTTTCTTACAGTGGGATGAAGACAGCTTGTTGTAGTACGACTTGTTCAGAAAATGTTTGCTTTACACAATTCTTTCTGTTGGAATGAATAATGTGTAATTTTTTTATTTAAAAAAAAGTGAGGTACCCCAGATTTAACATGGACACTTTGGTGACTTTGGGAATGTAAACTTTTATGAATGAAAACTCGTTAAGCTATTGACCAAATGGACTTCTTACAACGCTTATGACTTTCATTGACTGAAGGAAACAGCACTAATAGTAAGAACTGATTTCTAGTTTTTAACAATAGAAAAGTGAGGAGGTTGTTCATACTTTGCCGCTGCCGCTGTGCTGAGGCGCTCCGGCCGCAATGTCGATCACATTGTGTGAGGAGAAGTGTCCCGCGGTCACAGCGTAGCCTGAGGAAACAGACAGCCACTGAGCAGGATGCACTCATCAACTCAGTCCAGAGACAAAGGACTTTTAAACATGATTGTGCTGTCTCCAGTTCTACCCTCGTCCTTTCTGCAAATACTTCAATAATAAGAAGCCACCCTGGTTATTGTATGATTTAATAGAATAGATTTTTGTGCACTCTCAAGTAAAAAAAAAAGAGTTATGTTTGAGTTGTGGTTCCTAACTCGAGAACCATAAAAAATAGGACTATGTCATAAAATTCATGTAACTTGTTCATCTCAAAAATTGCTCTTCAACAGTTTTGATCTATCGCTAGTTTTCACAAAGAAAGAGAAATCAGCCAATCAGCTCTCAGTTGAAATAGTGTCTCCCATGGATTAAAAGTTAAATGTTTTGTCAAAAGACAGCATGTTGAAGAGGTTAGCTTTAATGCGATCTCAAAGCCCATTCTGACCATAACCTGACCAAAATCTGGTCTGATCAAAAATCCTTTAATGAACAGGGATTTTGCAACGTTTCAGCCATGATTTTTATTTTATTGTTAAGAGTGCCTCGGATTTCTTTCTCCTTTCTCCATAAATTCCCAGTGTTTTTTGCCACTGCTGATCCTGATGTGCACCTGACAAAGTAAGACCCACTGCAGCACTCATCTCTTGAACTTTCCCCATCCTGACCATATTGATATTGTGGCTTTTTAATATCACCCTGGACCAGTTCTTGTCTTATCGCTATAGTTACGCCTACTCCAAAGACATCATCTCTCACCGAGGTAACTGTATCTGTGCGAGTCCACCTCATCCTGGTTTGGGCTGTAGAACGAGTCCGAGGTCAGATTGTAAACTTTGATTGTCCCGGTCCAGTAGTACGACCCCGGAGCCCCCATCACCACCAGCTCCTGAAACACAACCAGAACGGCTTTGGTCACAGCTCTGTGTGTAGTGCAACCCGCTGTAGTAAAATACAAAGCCAGAGCTGCGTGGGTGAAGTCCTGGTTAACCGTCGGCCACAGCCTGGTTTGCACTATCTGCTCTAAACCACACGTCCAGATGGCACACATGCTTCGTACGTATAGAAGAGAACACATGTTACTATAGTTTTCTGTATTACACAGCAGAAAAATATATTAGGGATCATTGTTTTTGCATGTTTGTTTGTGGTAATGTAAAGCAAAAGTAGGGATACGCTATTTACAGTCTATGGATACGCCCAATGATCCCATAAGATTCTTTTCATGCATGTCTAGCTTGTCGGTGACTTAAAAACAATTTTGATGCAAAAATACAGCATTTATTTATTGATAATAAACAGATAATAATACATATACTAAAAATAGACTGTAATTTTAACACAAAATAATAATAATACTTGTTATTTTTATATACATTTGCCAAGAAATGTCAAATTTTGTCCTGTTTATTTAATTGTATTTAGTTTACTTAAAATCTGTATCTAGTTTGATTTTTTTTTTAACATCAATTCATATCTGATTTATAACAATGTTGATAACCCCAGAGACCATAAAAGATTATAAATGTATTAGCTCATTAGGTCAGATTTGTGCTTTTTTGTTTTTCACACAGGAAAATCTGACCAATAGTAGGATTTAGCCCAAGCTTATACAAAACCACGGCTTGTCTCATTATTGTTACTTCTCAAATATTCCTTAGTTTTGTTTCTTGTCCCAAGAAAATACTTGGGTTGATTATTTAGTTAATTTTTAATGTCACTACAGAGATAGACTGTACATTCAAGGCATAGAGCATTTATCCCCAAACCAACCCCAGTGCTGTCTATCACGGCCTTCCTGCTTGAGCTGCTTCCTTTGATGTTTTCAGGAATTTGCTCTGATGGCGGTGGTATAAAATGACTTGTTCACACGTTTTTGTTGCTGTTTTGATGCCTGGACGTTGCCAGATTGACGTAATTACATGGAAAACCAGACAAAGCACCTTGTTGCCGGTGCATCTGAGCTGCAGAGGTCGTGTTTTAGATCTGAGACGGTCTGTTTTAGGTCTTTGTCTTAAATTCCTCACATTCTTTCAGAGCCTCCACAAATACTTACCACCAGATCAATTCCTACGCACCCCATCTGTGAAATGCACAACTAATGGCCTCCTAAATACTTCGGTCAGTGAAATAGAGACTTCAATCTGACTTGTAAAGTTAATTTCACTTGAGCGGTATGTCCACGTGCCCGAATTAAGTTTATGATAATAAGGTAATCCAAACATGCAGTATAAGAATAGGCTGCATAATCTAATTTCACATGAATTTGAATGCTGGCTTTGATGTTTGCAAGTTAAACAAGTTTGTATCCACACAATGTTCCAGCACTGATCCGATGTTTTGGATTAAGCAAGTTTTTAAGCTTGAAAATGCTTTTGATCAGAGCATTCGCCTTAATAAATGCACAATATGGATTCAATATTCAAATTGCACATTTTGAAGAATGTTTATGTATATAGTATGCCGTCACTTAACGTCAACTATTGCCAGAAGTGACAAATAAGTACATATCTCTTGGGGCCTTTTAAAGTTTCCTATGAGCCCTGTGTCTCTACGCTGTATATTTATCACTTACACCAAATGGGAAAAGATTAACCTAAAAGCTCTTTGTGCCATGCGAGGATTCATTTAAAGCCATTTCGCAGCCCCCTGTACCATTCAATACGCCACAAATTGACTGTAACTGGAACCTGAGACACAGAGAGGTCCAGTAGTGCACACAGACAACATGAGGAAAGAATTACAATAGTAATCTATAGAAAACAAAATGTCCAAATGGTTTCAAAATACATGCATCATGACTTCCAGAAAACATACATGTTTTTGGAATGTAATGATGATAACTTCATGTTCAACTATGACTTTGGTGAGAGTTCTAAAACAGAAACAAATGGCTAAACGGCTTGGCGATTGAGGAGGTCTTCGACCAATAAGAAACAAAAATGTTAAGCAAATAAATGACCTCATTATGGAGCTACAGTCTCAGGTTCACCTAAAAAATGTAGCTCTGTAATTTTATAATCCCACTACGACCTCTAAGTGTGGTTAACTGCTGCTATTGTAGAAAAAAAGAATTAAAAAAAGAAATTGGATTTGAACCGAACCTGTGCGGAATGCCAAGTGGGTGGGACTTTCACGCCATAGGGATACATTATATTAATACTGCGATACAATATTGGTGCCAATCCTGGACATTGACTTGGATCCGTATCGTTACGTGTTGAGCTGATCCTATTTCAATTAGTGTAAAAGAAAACTTGTAAACTGATCTAAAACATTTAACATTGGTTCTTGTACTTACAGAAAGAATAACACATATTGACCAAACTTTGCTTTGATTTGAAAGGGAAAAAGGCTGTTTTCAGTCTTGTTAAGGACCAACTCACTATTGGTTCTTAACGAATATTGTAAACAGTGCACGCCTCGTTGTACCAGGATTGTACAATGACACCAATTTGGGAAAGATAATATCTAATAGAGTTCCATTTTCAGGCGGAATTGACTTGAGATAATCAGCATAAAATGAATCAAGATGACTGTCAATCAGGATTATATGCCCTTCAGCTCAGAATAGTTCTTATAGTTGCGACATTCACTGAAAGTCGCCATTAATTTGCCATTTGTTCGACCATTCTCTCACAAAACATACACAGTTTATATGAACACTGTTAAAAGGAAATGAGGTACCACACTGAAGGGATGATGTCATGGCTAAGTGAGGAACAGGAAGTGTGTGTATTTTCATTATCTGTGGAAACACTGGGGCTTCCTTCGTCCATGGAAACGTACAGCGCGATTATCAGTGGTCCGGTGCGGTGGCAGCTGTGATACAAACGCTCCCTTATGTTCTAATCTAACAGGCCGGATTTTACAGATCAGCTGAGGTCTATGACAACATCAGAGCAGTGTAATGTGAGATGTGATGAAGAGGAGGCTTGTTAGGGCATTTGTTTGAATCAAGGAACACTGTGGAGACTGCCTTAACCATAGAAGGACCTTAAAGGAAGAACCTGCGTCAACTTTCCAATGGGACAGACAGGAAAAAAAATAGTCCAAGCAAACTTTGGCTTTTAAAGTTCTACAGTCACAGAGCAGTGCACCCAGGACCAGGAAACTGCATCATCATAGACAACAGACGGTTTGTCATCCACATAGAGAAATAATTACATTTATAACTATTTTTTCCAAGGACAACTTTGTAAAGGTAGAGCTACACTCTTGTTACATGGTTTTTATTACTCTATCTTTATGAAAACTATTGTCCCTTTTAGAGCATTGGCCTTTGGGCCTGAAGGTCGTGGGTTCGAGCCCACCGTAAGACCTACTTCACGACTCCCACTGATGACTGCTGTCGCTGTGTCCTTGGGCAAGACACTTAACCCTACTTTGCCCAAAGCCCCAACTGAAAGATCTCAGCTCCTGTGGACTCACCACCTGCAAGAGGATCAGTGAGGGGCTGGTGCTCTGTGAACTGGGTGCAGCTCTGACTGCAACCCCCCCGACCCAGAAATGGATTAAGGGGAAGAAAATGGATGGATGGATTGTCCCTTTTGTGACATTTGATTTATTTTTGGGACACTGCATGTTATCAGGTTTGATAACCTCCTTCTCCTGATGATGGGCCATAAAACAGATTTATGGGTCTATTGCTGTATGTGGCTGAAGAATACCCACAAAACGTGTTTTGCCAGAAAGAAGAAGGTCAAAAGGTGTATTGAAAGGCAAATGAAGCTTCATATCATTGCCTCCTCTGACTTGGATATTGGCAAATCCTGAAAATTCTCAATAATGAATATCCTGGGGTGGCTAATGACAGCTTGTGTATAATAATACTCTAAAATAAAAAAAATCACAAGAAGTCTTTAGAAAAGGCAGCTATCATTGCATTTTTCACATGTGGTTTAGAAGATTATATCGTAAATGTGTTAGAAAGCAGCACTGAGAATTACAGAGATTATGAAGACGAACAAGGATTGTAACTGACCTCGGTGAATACGCCAGCTATCCCGGCTTGGCACGAGCCGTGCTCTTCCCCATATTTCTGCTTATAGTCTGTAAGAAAAAACAAACCACAAATTATTTCACTGTGTGCTCGCGCCAGCGTTTACTGGAGTTTTTCCTGCATTCCATATGGAGCTACTCAAGTCCCAGTCTCATCCAGGGGAACCAGGGCAACAGCAGACAGGAGTGCAACCAGGTCTGCGCAAGGACAAAGGACTAAACCAGGTCTAAACCAGGACTTAAAGACTAAAGCGAGTCAAGCCAAGTCGTGACATAACCTGAAGTGAAGCAAGAAAACAGAGATGACTGCAGGACTGGACTAGGTTTAAGGCAAAACCCACGGTCAAAAGGAACAAAGTAACTTAAATTCTGACTTATTTTAGATTCAACACCTACTACATAACTGAAAAGGTAATAAAAATAACTCAGGACATGAACTCTAAAGTCAGCGCTGTTCCTTCCAGTTGGGGAACCACATACAAGATGGTGGGGGGCTCAAGTTTCATGTTACAAAAATATTGAGTTTGGTTTTGAGCAAAATGCATTGTAAACACAGTCCCTTACGAATGCTGTCTGCTTTCTCTATAGCACAGAACAGGGTCAAGAGGAAGTGTGATTCTGACAAAGAGAAATAAATTAACACCAAACAGATGCGGAACACTTTTCAACAGATTTAAACTCACATGATGCATTCTCCTGTACGTGTGTAACAATCTAATCTTGCTGTAAAATCTATAGATGGCAAAACAACCTGCTGCGCTTATGGCTTTTGTGTAGTGGATTCCAAAAAGGTAACATTCTTTGGATAGCGAGGAAGTTTTGGCAGCAAACGATGGAAAACCACTGTTTCTCTGTAAAAGGTGTTAGAACTGTCCCGTGTATATTGCTCAATTATATGACACTTTAAAGAAACAAAAAGGTAATGGTGATCTGCCAGAGTGTGGACTTGAGAAGGACCCCATAAGGATTTCAAACTGCTACTAGAGTATTCTGAGCCAGACCAAAGGCATGTGGGCTGCTAACGGTAAAGCAGTAGACATCACGGTCATAATGACAAAACCAACCACAACACAAGCGCCAGGAGGAGGATTATTAGCAGGATGGGATGTTTCTTTCATGCTTTTTTTTATAGTGCCATGACGCATTCTTACCTGCTTTACAAGACTATAAAAAGTGTGAGAATGCATGTACTTTTGTCTTGGCAGAGACTGTTTATAGAATTGGTGGATTTGAAAACAACAGATTTTTGGAAAGGTCTTCATCATTTACAGTATGACTACTATTTCCCTTTCACACTTCCTACATGCTATATCTGACCACTTCTCAGCCACAAATACTAATGTCCTTGTATAAATCACATTCAACTTACGTATGTTTGTCTAAAACTCCACTCAGAAAGGCCCTGTTCTGACCAGGATTCGAACCCAGGAACTTCTTGAGACAACAAAGGATCTAAGATCTTTCTGAAGACAGGTCACCCAGCCATGATTGAACTTCTTTCATTAAACAGCGGTCTTCTTATGGTCTTCTACATAAAATGGAGATATCATGTTTTGCCTGCTGCCCTGCCTTAAGAAGCACCCTCTCATAAATATGCAGAAAATCTGCAGATCTTTTTCAGGGACCATTGAAAGGAGTGTGACTGTGACACATGTGGTTTGGTTCTTTTAAATCAATTTCCTGTTTTGGACATTTTTGTAAGTTCTGCAAGATATTGCTGCCACTATGATTATCAAATTTATGATACATTTCAACCAACAAATAGTGCAATATTAGACAGATTTGAATTATGATATCCGTAGCTAATAGATAACAGATAGAATCCCTCTTACTAAAAGGTTTGGACGCCCTGAACCTAAAAGGATTTACCTTCGTAACAGGGAATAAGAGGCCTGGTTTTGCCCTGTAGATTTGATGAGATGATGGAGCAGTATCCATGGGGTAAAATATGCTCAGAGTCATAGTAGACGTTCTTCCACCGGTGAGCGCAGGCCTACGACAGAAAGAGAAAAAAAATGTGAAAAAAACCCCAGTAATAATCCCAGTATATTGAGTTTTTTTGTACATACACTGGTAATTGTTAAAAAATGTACAAATATGTTCTCTTAGGTACAGGCAGATGGCACGATTATAAAGAGACTTGTTCTTTGAGGAAACACCAACCAAAACAACCTTCTGTGTGTGAACCACATGGGAAAATGTCAGTGACACGGAACACAAACAGAGGGAGCAGAGCGGCCGGAGTCAGGGCGTCTGTGCGGCTGTCATCGTCCTCAATAAACAGGGGGCAATTCAAGAGCAGCCAGGCCTGACCATGTGGGCTCTGGTCTGTGGTGCGGATCACTCACATCTCAACTCCCCAAAAACATTTAATAAGTCAAGAGAGATAGCCTTTACATCATTTTCTCATTTGGCTTGTAATAAAAGTCATCACATTTCAAAACAGATTTTCATAAGTGGCTCTGGTTTGGACCACGTGGAGCAATTATGATCATTATCAGTTTATCGCTCCTCATCTTTTACACAATTGAAAAAATACTTGTGTTCATAGTTGAGTAGAATATTACTTCACTATATATATATATATATATATATATATATATATATATATAATACCTAAGTCCAATTGCTCACAAGCTATGCTATGCTCACACTCAGAGAGCAGCCGTCCTCCTGTGGACTCACCACCTGCAGACGGTCAGTGAGGGGCTGGTGCTATGAGACTTGGGTGGCATCTCTGACTGCCACCCCCCTGACCCAGAAATGGATTAAAGGGTAGAAAATGGATGGATGGATGGATAAGTCCAATTCCTTATTTGGCAAAAATATTTGAGGGTGAAATCAAATCATCTTGAAAAGTAAAAAGCATTAATAATTGACTGTATTTATAAACAAAACATACTAAAATATCATATATTTTGTGTGTATAGTTTTGTATATGTTTAGTATTTTGCGGCAATTCTGCAAACATTCTACAATATAACTTAAATTGTTTAAAAGTTATAATGTACTACATTTTCACAATTTTGATGTCATTTTTGTATAGCTGTTTTAAAAACCTCTGATCTGTAGCATTCACACTAGGGCTGAAACAACTAATCGATTAATCGACGACTAATCGATTATTGAAATAGTCGACAACTATTTTAGTAATCGATTAATCGTTTTCTGGTTCACACGAACTCAAACAGAGCAAAAATGACATGAAAATGTAGTATTTTTGATTAAAACCGACTTTGTTTTTATAATTTCATGAATATCTGTCTGTCTCATCCAATCAGATAGCAGAATTAACACAAAGAGTCTGTTACAAACATTTACTTTAAGATTACGCCATCAATACGTCCTCGAGTGTTGCCACTTTAGCTTTTTGTGATGAAAAAATATTTTTTTCTACACAATTCACAGCCAAGCGATTACTCGATTAATCGTAAAAATAATCAATAGATTAATCGATTACAAAATAATCGTTAGTTGCAGCTCTAATTCACACATATACAAGACATGAATTAGAAATAGTCAACAACCAATATAAAGCCCTTCCATAGGAATTGGAAACACTACAGCACTAAGATTGGACACCATTTATACTAAAAGTGCATATTCTAAATATCGGAAATGAGGTAAACCAGTATGCTGTGGTTTGATTTGTTAGAGAGGGGGGAGAGAGGGGGGAGAGGGGGGAGAGTGGGGAGAGGGGGGAGAGTGGGGAGAGGGGGGAGAGTGGGGAGAGGGGGGAGAGTGGGGAGAGGGGGGAGAGTGGGGGATAGTGGGGGATAGTGGGGGATAGTGGGGAGAGTGGAGATGCTTCCTGAGGCTGCTGGACGCTCCTCCACAGGCTTCACTTCATTTCCCCCTGAACCCAACCTCCCCACCCCCACAACCAAGCAGCCAGAGTTTATAAGTGCACATGAGATGGACCAGATATCAGGGCAAACAATGATGCAATATTTGTTACAAGTAAAGTGACATTCGCAGCATAGATGCAGCAGTTAAAAATAGCCATAGGTTTTGGTACATTGGTTTTGATACTTTGCAACTTATATTAAGGCTGAGAAATGTAGGTAAACGTTATCGCACATACCAGGAACTAGTTCATTCCCAGTTATTTAAGTCAGAGGAACCTCCCTGTTCCCTTTTATTGTATTCACAATGCAAAAATGGCATAAAGTGGCTCTAACTGGATTTAATATGAGCAGTGGGAACATCTAAAAAAGTCTACAAAGTCTGGCACCTTTCCCTAGTTCCTGTTCTGTGTGAACGCGCCCAAAATAGGAAGAAGGAATAAATCAGAAGAAACTGAAAGAGGTCCACACAGTGAATATGCAATGGGCAGATATTTTGATTCAGATTAGATTAGCACATTTTAGACACATTCATTCAAGACAAGACAAAATTATGCAAGTTGTAGAAAAGATAAGATAAGATAAGATAAACTTTATTGGTCTCAGAATGGAGAAATTTACATGTCACTCAGATTGTGCAAAAACTAAGACATGTCAAAGTTTAAAAATATAGTCTGTGCAGGATTAATTATGTACAATAAAAGAGTGGCAATAGCAGTGCTGGGTTTTCAACCATCTTAGCAACACAAGTGCCCTTTTTACAGCATAAAGACAACGTTGGCAGATCAAATACCGTCAGAACAAATGACCATATAAGGAAATTGGCTCCAGCTAGCTTATGTTCAAATTGGCTTTACCACATTCAGAAAACATTATGGGAGACGTCAGCATTCGGTCAGTCCACTATATAATATTCATGTACTTATCTATGTATGTCTAAGTAGATACCCCTTTTACCTAACGACAGGAACAATGGAAGAACCCGGTGGTCTCTACGCTTTAAGTGAATCTCTCTAAAACGCTGAAGTCGTCATGTTTCTTTCTGCTCTGACAGAGGATGACCGTATAAGGAGTGTGCGTGTGTCATGCCCAGCTCTGTTAAAGACCTCACTAGTTACAAACAGGTCCTATAGATTAAATCACCACAGAGAAACATCTGCCCCACAGCCTTCTCCTTCTCTGGGAGCACAGAAACATGACGCCGTTCAAATATACAACCAAAAAACCCCAAAACAGCGTTACAGGAACACGTGGATGCGGTCTGTCTTCATGTAAAAGTCAGATGTTTTACAATTCAAGCCGAATATTCTGAGAGCTGACATATCCAACAGAGTGGATATGTGATGGACTACAAAGGCCAAGAGCAAACGGAGCAGAAGGAACGCTAACAAATTCCACTAAAGCGGGGAAAAAAGGCCAGACAAACAAGCAAAGTGGATAGAGTTTTGAAAAGGGCAACTATATTTAGAACATGTTCCGAAAAAGATTCCAATGAATTTTAGCGTAAGATATTTAGAACATTTCCAAACGTGGCGGAGTTCGTGCACCATACATTTGTCTCAATCTCAAGCACCTCAAATCTAAATAACCTAGAACAGATTATATAAATGATCCTTTTGAACATAATCACAGATAAAAGAGTCTATGCAATTGAATGAGCAGAGTCCGGCTGCATGATTGATCACAATTTAATCAAAATCACAATATTATTGCTTTCAATTAGCAAATCGGCAAGGCTACAATTATTTAAATCCTTTGTGAGCCAAAACAAAACAGCATAAGACAAAAAAATAACCAAAAATCTCTGGAATTAAAGGTATATAGAAGGATTTTCTACTTCCGGGTGGATCATCAAGACCACTCCATTGTCAGTCATTCTGGTGCTACGTGCTCGTCAAATAAGACCAGAGAGTTTTGTTCAAAAAGTGTAGAGGGCGAATCTTTCCTAACATTTGGGAAAATCCTCCAATATACCTTTAAGGAATAAATAAATGTATGTAAATTCTATTCTGAAGATTGGAAGTATGTATATTTTTATACTTTGACTTTTATACGTTCTATTCTTATTACAGAAATAATCTAGCTTATTGTTTTGTTTCTGAAGATCTTGAATTGGTCAATGCAGCCAATGGTTTTCTTCACATTTAAAACAGTTGCTTGATTTATGCACTGTTACTTTTAAAACACAATAAATTGCAATGATAATGTTAACCATAAAAATCAATTTGATATTTTACCAGAATCGAGTGTGACCTGCCGGGCTCTTGTCTTTCTCTGTGTTCACTGCACAGAAGAAAGGTTAAGCTCTAACGAAGCCGGCCTCAGGATGGGACCACCGCCGAGAGGTTGAGACCAAATAAACTCTTCCATTTGAACTTTGGTCTGTGCAAACACTCACCCGAGCACCTCTGGGACAAACGCCAACGGATACTTTTGATTTGAACACATAGCTATACTTGTAAATGTGCATCCACTTGTGGTAAATGTTGGTGCAAAACAAGCAGCAGGTACAGAGTGATTATGTAACGCTGTGGAGGGAGAACTCTGGATTTATAATATGTTTTGGCTGAAATTGAGACAAATCCTTCAGAGTTTTTGTGCTTGTACTTGAGAGTGAAAACATGTAAAACAAAGTGGCTCATTGACAGCCTTAAAAATGGACAGCTGTGGAATACCAGAGTGGTTTAATCCAGGAGTTTTGCCACAATGATTAAGATTATGAGGATCGTCCCACAGAGGGGAAATTTCAATGATGTTGCTATAATCTACAAGGCTTTTATGAGGCTCACTGTAAAACTTGTAAGTAAATGTGAATGAGTCTTCAGTAATTGAATGTTGGTTGCTATTTTAACTTACACCGTCATGGAGTGGACTTACAATATTTGGAAGTTGGAATTATTTAGTTTTGCCTTTTTGATTCTCCTTTGTGTCTCATTGATTCTTTGCCCTAATGTTATTCACCTGTGTCTCTCTGTGTATATTTACCCAGTGCTTGTTGTCTGTCCATGGTCTATCCCACTTGTTTTCCTGGCTTTTTTGATTTGTTTCTGGATTTTAGTGGAAAAAGGCTTGAGGTGCTAAATTTGAGTAGAAATTCTATGGTGAAAAAAGTGTGAAGGATAAAAATGATTTCCACCAGTAACTCTTTGTTATGAGTGTCGTAAAAAGTGCTATATAAGTATTATGCATTATTATTATTATTGTTTAGGTGGGTGGAGTTTTTTGTGGGTGGGTTTGGTAAGGGAAAATGTTTTGATTATTATGTGTCCTTTAAGCAATTTCCAGGCAAAACAACAACTTCTAAACATAAAACCACTCAAACCAATACATTTTAACCTATTGCATGGATAAACTCACCAATATCTTGCCGTTGGCTATGTCTTGCCGCGCCAGACTGACCCCCATCCACTCGTCGTCCCGGTCGCCTTGGCACGTTTTCCCACACGACTCCCGAGGCCTGTTTCCTGGACGACAGAAGATCGGTTTGAACACACTGAGTCATGGACAAGGAGGAGTCCACATGACCTCAGCCATTGTCAGCTTCTTTGGCCGATCTCTTCAAGGCAAATGTATGCAGCACACTCCCAAATGTCAAATCCATTAAGCGTACCAAAGAAATCACAAAATTATCGTTCTAAATTTAGCCTGAACATAAAGTACTTGGAGTGCGTTGATTGCGCAACTTTACAAACGCAACATGCTAAAATTCTGAAAACATGCTGAAAGCTAAAAGAAAAAACCCCTGAATTTCTTAATTGAGGCGACTCTCTTCTCCAAAGATATAACCTGTTACTTTGTGAAGTCACTTGCTTTTCCCCAGCATAGATGGAATATTAAAGGTAAAGGTGCACTTTATTAATCCCCATAGGGCAATTCATCCTCTGCATTTGACCCATCCTGATGCCACTAGGGAGCCATCAGGAGCCGTAGTACAGTGCCCAGGAACCCATCTCCAGATGTTGATGCTTGGCTTGGTCTGGAGCACCTGGAGGAAGGCCCTGTTCCGACCAGGATTCGAACCCAGGACCGAATCTTGCTAAGAAACGTCTACTAAAGGCCATACCGTGGAGCAACGACATTTTGATGGACATAAAGTAGACCCAATACCAGGAAAGTGGCACTTTAAAATCAGCTCTTTAGGTCTAAACACAATTGGACCAACACTAAATGTTACAAGGGTCAACTGAGAACTACATCAGGACCGAATCAATGGAAGAAACAGACTTTAATTCAGATTAGAAATAGTATTTTCTATTATTACCCTGAGTGAGGCACTCCCACAGTGTAAAAGCCTTCAATCAGAGCAGGCGTGATGCAAACCCCTAACTACATATGAGTACATGTTTACAGCCTCTGTCGCTCCTCCGCCAACGTCTCTTTTAACACGAGTCGGCAATACGATAACCACACAAGATACATGACCACAGCTGATTCAATGACATGGCTTTAAATAGCAGATCTAGCCACATGCGCTGCACGGGCCTTATCTGTTGTCTGAAACTCATGATAAGAAACCTTCAAAGCTCAAACAGGAAACTGGATTAGAAACAGCAGAGGAGAGAAAAAGCAAATGTACTTAAAGCTCAGGTGCCTACTTTTCAAATTTAACAGTGATACTAATCCTTGTAACTCTCAAAACAGTTTGGCTCTATCCCCGGTTTTCACATGCATGTATTTTCAGTCTCTACTACAAAATCTCTATTGTAAAATCTGAAAAATGAGAGGACCTGCCTGATAGCCAATCAGCTCTCAACCCAAAGCGTGGAATAGTGACCCATCGGCCTATTTCACACAAGTTTGCAAAAAAATATATCAATTTGAGACAGCAAGTTGTGGTTTAATTTGTTCACTGACTAGTTGGCACGGGGGTGGCACGGTGGCTGAGTGGATAGCACTCTCGCCTCTCAGCAAGAAGGTCCTGGGTTCGAATCCCGGTTGGACCAGGGCCTTTCTGAGTGGAGTTTGCATGTTCTCCCCGTGTCTGCGTAGGTTTCCTCCGGGTGCTCCGGTTTCCCCTACCACTAAAAATATGTACAATAAGTCTGTGCCTCCTGTACTGGCACCCCCACTCCCAAAAATCATAATTGTAAACCGCTTTGAGACTCCGATGTGCAGTGAAAAGGCGGTATATAAATAAAGATTACTTACTTACTTACTTACTAGTTTTCACATAAAAGAGTCTTTCTGCTGGGACAATCAAAATGTATTGTGTTACGATACAAAAAAGTTAGTTAGTCAGCTTTAACGTAAACACTATTAATCTCAAACCACCATAATATAAAATAATACAATATAAAAAATTGCATATCAATAAATTCATGTAATAATAACTTGTTAGCATGTATCATTGGGGTAGGAGAACAAGGTAATTGTGCAGTAATTTGCTATGAATCCATAACTAGTTAAAAACATTGGGAATTGCTCTGGTGAATGTCACTTTGTAGTCAAACGCACAACAATAATAAAAGCAATACTATTAAACCGTTTCAAGATTACTTTATTTGTCCCAAAGGAAATTGTGTGGGACTCATAGGCAGCTTTGCAGATAAATGTCTTTTCTGCCTGAATATTTAGAGCCAAACCTCCACTTCAGCAGAACTGTCTCAGGAATATTACATAATGAATTGCTTTTATAACAAAGTAAAGACGGAGGAACACAAACGTTGAGATTTGTAGCCTGAATTGCAATAATAGTGGATTAGATGGACTATTCCCTCGTGTTTTCTTCTCACTCCTGCTCTGATTTAGTCTGATGGCCTGCAGCTGGCCTGTCCCCTGTCACACTTCCACAGGATCCCTGAGGTCTCTCTCAGTTCAGCTCCTCTGGCTCTATGGCGCATGACTGACTGCTCTTTAATAACATGTGCTTTAGTGACACTCTGGGGTTAATACTAAATCCATTCTCATCTCGCTTTCTCTGCATGGACCAGATGCACAAAGCTCTACGGGGAGTGGACCAAAGCAGCCTCCTGCCTCACGTGTTTGGACAACATCAGTGAAGGCATAAATCGTATATATACTAAAATATGTATAGATCTGATGTCACAGAGAGATCTTGTATTGAGCGTGTCATTATGGCAGCGCTGGGTTAAAGCTGGGGTACCTAACTTTCTTACCATAACACAGATATTGAGTCAAACTTCAGCCTAAACCTTTAAGTGTGCAAAATAGTCACGTATATGAAATAATATATGTAATTATTATTTGATTCTGTTGTTGACTCATGAACAAAGAAACAATTATACCTAAAAAAATATATATATATGTAATACATTTAATCAAAAAGTTAAATATTTTCGAAACATGGGAAATCACATGCACCAGAGGCCATCATTTGTCTGCTGTTTATGTTTAGATCAGCTTTTTCAGACAGAAGAGTTGAAAAACAGGACCCCCCTCACTCAGCCAATCAGCTCCCAGTCCAAAGCAACAAATTGTGACAGACAGAGGTCTTTCCTACAAGTATACCAAAAATCCAATGTTTTCTCATAAGATTAAAACTGCATGATATAGACTGCATTTAACTTTTCCAAGACTCTTTCTATCTGACCAAACAACACGTATTATTTACTGGAGGGGATGTTAGGTACCCCAGCTTTAAAAGAACAACAGTGGCAGTGTGGAGGATGGCTATTATAAGGCTGCATTATTCAGGTAAAACAAAACAGATGCTTGGGAGGACACGTGTGAGCAGAAGTGGACATGGGAGTTTCCTGTTGAAATAAGTGACAGCTCCGCATAAGTGTGTGTGGAGAGGTGGAGGTGTCAGGGGAGCCGCACTGACCTCTGCCCATGTCCATCTCCGTGCAGCGGCGCTCGGGGTTACTGTGGACCCGGCACTTGTACACAGCTCCCGGAGACTGCACAGAGCTACTGTAGGTAGAGTTCGCCCGCGGAGCGCCTACTATCACCCTGCAAGAAGGAAGGAAGGCAAGTCACTCACATGTTCCACTCCAAACTATTACAAGAGAGGTCATATCAAAACACTGACTGATCCAATGTTTCCTACAGCTTACATGCACTCACAGCAGGCATATATATAATTTGAACTGACGTTATTGAATGCGTGACAGCATCGTTGCCCAAAAAAAACTTACCATCTTGTGTTGTCATGAAAATGCTCCAAAACAGAGTATCCAAAGAAACTAGAATTAGGTCCACGAAACACCAAAGGATGCTCTAGGTCTATGTTGTAAGAACAAGCCGCCGACAATGAGAGACAGACGTAGAAAACATGTTGCATTCCTGTTGATCGTAAGTTCCAATGTGTAGCCATCCCCTTGCGCATCGTGCGTAATAGCGCGGTCAAAGTGTCCAAAAGTCGGGGAAAAAGAAGAAAAGCGCTCCCTAAAGTGGAAAAAAAGAAAGTGTTTAAAATAAATGCTGTTTGAGTAGGAATGGGAATGTCGCTCCACTTTTCTTCTGCAAAGGCATGAGTGTAGCCCCGTGAGTGCTGTGGTAACGGTGCGTCAGCTCCTCTCCATACTGTGTCAGAAAGTTGTTGCTCGCGGTCTTCTTTCTGTCGTGGACATAAAAGTTGTGCACATGTGAAGCTGGAGCAGAGGAGGTCAGGACCCAAAGAGTCTCCTACCAAAATAAAATATACTATAAAGAAAAGACTCCCGCGTGTCTTATTTTGAAAGTCTTTACCGAATGTGGTTTGTTTGATCTGCACTCGGGCATTACTTTGACGAGACGGAGCCAAGAATGAGTTCGAGACTCGAGCGTCACATTTCAGCTGGAGCGCACTTCACCAAAACAGAGACGGGTGCACACTGCTGCCACCTAAAGGCTACACGAGGACACTGTTTCACTCATTCATGGCCCAAAGTGTAGGATATTGTTGATAATAACCATAGACTGCAAATATCAATAACAGTACCGCACAGAGCACATTCGTCCCCCAAGATGGGAAATTGAAGTGTTGCATTACAAGTTACAGAACAGTAGGAATGAGGATCACACAGCACAAGATAAGTGACTAAGGCAATTACATAAGTGTGTTGCCTTTACTGCCAAGCTTTTACACATGTACTTATGTGTTTGACTCTTTTTTGCATTCACATTACTTACAACATAACATTTATATTCTAATCTGGTATCGTTAAATTTGAACTGTGGTTGTCAACAGATATTTTCCCTAAGTCGTATGAATACAGATAATTTTGTTGGAGAAGTCCACTCATGCCAGCTATTAATGGCATCAATCCACTATAACAACATAGTCATTAATACAGAGGCTATAGTAAATTGCACTTTGACATAATATAGGCTGTATATAGACTTTGTATAACCTCATGTGTGCCATACGATGATTTCATTGAAAACATTGCGTTTCTTGAGTCTGCTTTAATCATTAATGTGATATTTGCTCCTCATATGTCTGGAGCTTTTGTCGTCAGATTTATTTGCTTCTGTAACTTTGTAAGACTGTCCTTGTGGGTCACGGTGCACGGTCAGAGGTCTGGGGGCTAAATTTGTGGTGGTGTCTGCATTCCTGTTGCATTTCAGCAGGTTATCACCCTGCAGTAGTGCGCGCTAATGTCAATCCCACCTGAAAGATAAGTCGTTTGTTTAACACCGAGTTGATCAAGAGAAAACAGTTGACAAATAGACTTCTGTAAATATTTAATCTTGTTATTGAATTAATTTCCAAACAACAACTCATTTAGATTCATTATGGTACATTTAGAATAATCATATTACAATTTACAAATCTTGCATTTTGGGCTTACTGTCAGTGTCTATAAAATATAAAGCGTAGAAAAGCAGTGAAAACAAGGTCCAGATGCCACAGATAAAACATGTCGTGCGCCATTACAGATTCACACAGGAAGTCATTTTAGGCAAACCGAGAAATAAACTGAACCTCACCACCCACAGGAATAATGTGATTTATTGCACAGGTAAATCTTTATACAGATATACTAAATAAAAAACGAACCATTCAACTTCTTCTAAAATATATAAATTAACAAACTCTATTTCAACGTAAAACTGGATTCATTGAAGTTTTAATAGTTCTGGCATGTTTTCAAATTCCCTCATTACAGTGTTTTAGCTTATGCGTCACCTTAACCCCAGAAGCAAAGTCTCTCAAAACCGTCATGTGAAACAAACACACCGTCACAATACCACACAGGCTCACACACACACACACACACAGTCATCCACAAAATCACTATAATGCACAGAAGGGCTTCATCAAATCCTTGGCAGTCGATCCCTTCAGCAGCACAAAAAGCAGCAGCAGCAAAGTTCAGGAAGATACCACCAGTGGATCATCGTAACCAGGGCTGAAAAGGATCAAGTGTCAAATGAACACGAGTCATATGTGGCTACAACTTTTACAGTATTATTTACAAGTCCCTATGTTGTGTCTGAGGATCACAGTGAGCACGGAGCTCATAGGTGTTGAATTGCAACTATTTTTAACCTTCGTTTCCGTCACACTTATGTATACTATACCGATTTCCTAATCCTTTTTTTTCTCACAATGGATACATTCCAGTCTACGATAACCCAAGCCAAGATAAATAAACTCAAGAGAAAAAGTGTTAATTAGTTTGGACGAGTATGTTGGAAGACCTGCCTATCTAATAGCTAGTCAAGTTTTATTATGGTCCTCCACTGTCTTTCACATCTTCTCTCCTACTTCCAAAACACAAACGTTTCTGCTTTTGCTGGCATTTCACTTTTTGTGTGTTGAATTATTTGTATTGTTTTTACTGAATCTCACACACTCTTTCAATGTATTCCCAATGTTAATGACAAATACATTGGCTCTTGTGTAACCGATAAGATGGCTTTTGTTGAAGTTGATTTGGTAAATTAAAACAAAAACACTGCTCACCGGCACTTTACCGTCTTCATTTTCCAAAACCTTTTGAGTTTGATCCGGAGGAAACTTCAACATGGAAGTTATAACTTTGGCCATCGTCTGAGAAGAGAAAACACATACAGTTAATGCTTAGGCCTCCACACAATTAAAGTCATGACAAATCAATAATTAGCTAAAGTGCAGGCCAATCAGAGCGCGCCTTTCCCCTGCTTTAATCAGAAACAGTTGTAGTGACGGAAGCCTAAGCGCTCCACTAACACTAAACAAGAGGAGGCTGCATCATACACATGTGCTCGTGGGCAGCCTCTGGGACCACTGCAAGGGGAGGTCTGCACTGCTCCTATAAAGACCCTCTGTTTGCCGAGCATCTGGGAAAATCCCGCTGGCTTTAGGACCATGTCAACAGCTCTCTTAATTAACGTGTTAATTTTTTTGCCCCGAGTAAGTAGACTTTATAGGGATGCTTAAACAGGCTTGTACGACGTGAGGCTTACGGGAACCAGCCGCGCTCAGTTCAAAATCATGTGACCACTTGAAGTCATTCGTTCATTCATTGTGTCAGATGTAAGTATAACCTACTTACTCTAGTTTCTCGTCCCATCATGTACTCAAATAACACTTTCCGTAGGTATTCCATCTCAGTGGCTTCAGACAGTGGGTCAGTACTGTTGTAACTTGGCTCTGAAAGATAAAGACGGTCATAATTAAGACACATTTCAAAGGAGAATCTTTAATAATACTATAATAATTTCTTTAGAATATGTGAAGGGAGGAAAAAAATATCATCCATCCATTTAAAGAAAAACATTTTTAATCATAAAACATGTATAAACTATAATGGTCTCAGCCTGTAATTCCCCACCTCTACCACCAGACGGATATATATTTTTTCAACATCAAATATTACACACTGCAAACGCTTGGGTCGGAAAGTTGATATTAGCGTGAATGGCGCCGAAACAACTATATTTTCAATGAGGGAACAATGTAACATGGTGAAAAGCTCAGAGAAAATCCATCATAATATATGTCCTTTCCCTTCTTGCTTTATGTACCATGCATTATCATTTTGTTTTTAGGAGCCTGCAGTCACTTGGATTAATAGGATTACACTATTGACTTTGGTGTTCCTTTGAAAATCCAATTTAGTGTGACAGTAAATTTCAAATAGGAAAGCCTAAATATAGATGCATGATCGCGTGGGCAACGAGCAGTGACCACAAACTTGTTCATCATTAGCATCAGCAGAAACAATGGCCCATCACAGCATGAGAACTTCATTACTTCTGCCCAACAGCCATAACACCATTATCTTGTTAAATCGTGTGAATGGGAAAAGGGCCCTAAAAACTCAACGGACAAATCTGGAAAGTGTTAAATCCAGTCACTCAGCGCGCTACTGTGCACACATTAGCACAATATGGAATAATCATTAGAGGACAACACTGTGGGAGCATTCGCCGATACAGAATGTGGAGTAGGTGATAGAGGCCTTTGAAGCGAGGGGTGGGCTGCGGGGTCATTTGAAAATCCCTTTAAGTCTTTGTACCCTGACCTCGACTAACCCCCCTGAGCCCACCTCCGCTCACAGCTACAGCCGTAAAGATGATATCAAGAGATCAGCACGAGTCTGGTTTGAGGCACAGGAAGTCAATAGAGAATTAAAGGAGTCAGCAACAGATAGAGCTTTAACTAAGTAGAATAATCTAGGAATTGTTATTTTGATTAATAAACCATTTGATTAATATGAAGTGAAGCCACAGGAGGACATTTTCATGGATTATTCCACCCATTTTAATTGTTACAGCCCTAAATGCACAATAAAACAAAGCATAGTTGAAGCACTATATATTTATGCTAGCAAACCTGTATATTTGAATGTGTTACTTTTATCTCTGTGTACTTTGGAAACTTGTTTTATAAAATCAGGGCGACGGTAGCTCAGTTGGTAGAGCATTGGCCTTTGAACCAGAGGGTCGTGGGTTCGCGCCCGACTTTCACCATCGACTCCCACTGTCTGCTGTCGTTGTGTCCTTGGCAAGACACTTAACCTCTGGGAACACCAGCCACAGTGGGGCGGCTGCGGCTGTAAAGTGCCAAACTGCCATTGTGTCCTTAGGCAAGACACTTTACCCCCATTGCCTAGAATGAGTCTGGTGTGTGTGTGAATGGTTGGTGGTGGTCAGAGAGGCCGATGGCACATACTGGTTGCCTCGCTTCTGTCAGTGTGCCCCAGGGCAGCTGTGGCTACAGTAGTAGTTTATCACCACCGTGTTTGGAGTGAATGAATAATGACTTGTAAAGCGTCTATGAGTGTCCAAAAAAGCGCTATATAAAACCGATGCTTTTTTTTAATGTGTTATATATATATATAAAGTGGATTGGATTGTAAATGAAGTGCTTTATGCTAATATTATACCAAAATTAAAATAAAAGGCAAAATATCAGTGCAGTGGATGTTGTAACAAAACTATTTGTAGTTTACAATTCTTCATTATGGGCTTGATGGGTTCATATATTTGATAAAAGGCAGTGAGTAATTTAAAACACAAGTCAAATTTATATGAACAATTATAAAAAGAAAAAGTGCAGAGACAAGTAAAGGCTTAAAAAGATTAATGGTAAAAATATGGAAAATGTAGGTAAAGGGGTGATGCTGTGAAAAGGTGCCCTGGAGCTCACGTGGCATTGACCAAACAAATTAAACTGTTTACTTTAGCATTTTTAAAGTTAATTTTAGTGTTAGTGTCGTTATTGTTCTCATCATCATCATCATCAAAAGCCTGGGGACTAGTTTGACTAGTTATTAGATTTGCATTAAGATTGTATACATGCCTTTAAGTCAATTTTTTAACCATTTTATTATTTTGTGGCTTCCTGTTCCTTCCAATTATCATATATTTGCACAGAATCTCAGCAGAATTGCAATCGTGACTCCTGTTTGTGTAAAATAAAACTCACCAAAACCCTAAAAAATAAACAAATTGTATACTATAGGAGCATCATTTCCAGGGTCAGTGATCAGGCTGCAGGGAATTATGTGGTCTGTATTATGCAAATGGTTTGAGGACATTTAAGTGCCTGAGTGTGATTTTAGGTTTGCTGGATTTGACTGGAGCCATGGCTGTAATTTGGGTCTGGTTAAGGTTAGATCGCGGGTTATGGTTAGACATGTATAAGCGCTGTGGTTTAGCGTATGGTGGTGATATGGAGACAGACCGGCTGTTTATTATGTCACTGTAACAACATTGACAAAGAAGAAGAAAGCTATAAAGTATCAAGACTATATATTGATCAAGAATTTTCAGTATTTGAACTTTCCTCTAAGTGTAATAAAGATTCATTGGTAAGAAAGGGGGCGGTGAAGAAGTCATCCTCATATTTAATGGCTTTTGCAGACTGTGGTCCTAAGGTTTCCCACAAAGGACTTGACAGCACATCTCCTTAAATCCCTCATTTCCAGGATATAGCGCTGTGCATGCATTTTAAAGAAGAGTATCAAAGTCAAAAATCCAGTCTTGAGACTTTTCTCTCAGATTGGGCTATACATGGCATAATTAATCCCATGTCCAGGATCCAGGAAGCCATTATTAATCTTTTTCATTTGAAAAGACCTTTTACATATAAAGTCCAGGTCTTGCTTCCATGCAATTACCTCTGCAAGCCAGTGCAATTTATATCGCTGACATGTGAAATCTAAAGTTGCCCTTTTGGAGATTAACAATATACTATTCCTCCATGATGTATTACCATAAACATTCCAACAAAGAGTGCCACATTATGCAATCTATATGAACAACTACCGCCCGCTAACAGCACACAAGAGGTTTATGGACATTGATTATCTGCCCCTTATGGACCAAAGGCTCCATGTGTTTTTTGTGTGTGTTTAAACCAGTTTTTTTTTTTTTTAAAGTCCCCCGAGATAATTATTCTTGTGATTAAGGACTACAAAAGAGTAAAATAATTGAATTGAAGAGTGTAAACTAAAGGAAAGACAACATCTGAAAAAAGTGAGGAGCAGTGAATGTTTATGAGAAGAAAAGAATATGACACTTTGAATAAACTCTAAACATAACTGTTAAATTGTGTTGTTGCTTAACCCCCTGTTAAGCATGGTGCATAGTGACCTCATGACAATTTCTCAATAAAAGGAGGACCTCATAATAGAAATAATCAATAGTTTTAAATGCTTTTTGTAGTGAGGTTCATGACAATGTAACTGTCCCATTCTGTTAAAGTTACCTTTCTTTGTGCTGGCAAGATGAGTTACAACAGCATTTCTGTGGAAACACTTGATCTGGTCTTCAAGTGAGTGGATCTAGAAAAAAAAAAAAACAGGTTTCTTCATTTATATAAAACAAACATATGAAACCCCATGAATTTAACGATGTACATTAGAGCATTTGTTGTATTTGGGAAAATAGTGGTAGTTATTTGCTCCTTTAGGGCTGTTTGTGTGAATGGATTCTGTGGGAGAGTCAGTGGGAGGTGTTGCTATTGTTTATAGGGATAAAGCAAATGTAAACAGATGTGTAATTAAGTAGATGCAGCAGGAGCGCAGTCGGTTCGCCCGCTGGAGGTCACACAACCCTGGGAACACTGCGCACGGGATTTACTGCTCACTTGTCCCGAAGCAACAAGATACGACTCACTTTCTCCACAAACTCCTGCTCCTTCAGCCGAGCCTCACTCAGAAAAGACGTCTTCTCTGCGAGCTGCGCCTGAAGATGGCAACAAGGGGATTAGCTGCAGATGAAAACAAGGATCAGGAAAATATATATTTGTACAAACCTGTAGCTCCTCAAGGGTCATTTCTCCCTACACAAGAACAGAAGTAAAGGATTAAAAATGTTGTAATTGTTATAATAAATAAACAGTTTTTTTTTCCCATTTGCAGATACCAACCTCTGCGCGGTAAAAGAATGATGACATAAATAGTGCTGTATGCAAGTTTTCAGGTGGATGGTCTGCCACTTTCCTCAAGGGATATCAAGGGCACACATTTATCAGAATGTACTAGAAAAGGTTTCAGATACACCCAGAGCTTGCCCGACTGAACAAGCAGACAAAGCAGCGACATAGGGCCCCAAGGTGCCTAGATCACTAAATACAGCATATTGTATTTAATAACAAAATGTGGATTGAGTGGAGCGAGTTTCAGTGAAGGAGGCCCTGAAACAGATTTTGCTTAGGGGCCCATCAAGACTGGAATTGGCACTGGTTCCAACCCTTCAGTAAATATAATTAAAACAATAAAATACTTTCAAACTAAAATATTTCCCTTGGACCAGAGATTGGAATCGTATTTAAGAAAAAAAAGCCACACCCCCAGTTACTTTCTGTCACTTTAAAACCTTTAGATAAAAATGACCATTAGTCTGTTTTGCTGAAGATTATAGATGCTTGAAGTAGGGCTGTAACAAGTTCATTTTTTTTAATCTTACATAGACTCAAACATGCCGAGAAGAGGTTTTATAACACTAATGATGATTCTATGACTTATAATCAAACCACCCAATGTGTAACAAATCATCAGGATGTTCTCCACAGGCATCACTGAAGCTTTGTTTTGGTCAAATGTATAAAATTCCCATATTTACTAATCTTTCGGATCCAAACAACTAATTGATTTTCAAACTAATCGAGAAAAATTTACACACCTTAAAGTAAATATAGATCTTTCATTTTTATTCAATACATTTACCGATACAACCCTTGGATTTTGACAAAATGTTTCGGAAGTTGACTCACGAGAACTTGTGCTGTCTGCATTTGTCCCGCGGGAGAAACACGCTGACCCAATGTCTGTTTGAAAAATGGTCAGAGAGGCCCGTCGCAAGAAATGGACTCTATGAGCATAAACCCATACAATCCCCCCGTAAAGTTATGACCTCAGCAGGGAAATATGCAGCCGCGAGAGCAGCATAACTCTTTGTCCTCTAGTGGTGCAAGTGCAAATTGTAGAAAGGATGCATTGCAGGGGTCCCTTTGCACCTCAACACCTGGAGAAAGCACTTATGGAGGTGGGCGTTATTTGTGTGCCTTTTACAGCCTCGATCCAAAAGTGTATTATAAACGTAACCCCATGAATCACCCGCACAGGCTGATAATTAAAAACAGAGAAAGCCAGCGCCTCACAATTCCCATTTTTTTCCGAGCAGCAGAGGATTCCTGTGTGATTCAGATCCCAGCATCCGGCATGTTTTGGAGGGAAGCCACACGACAGGGCTGAAAAAAAAAGTCTGATCACGACGAAGAATATAAGAAAATTGTCCCAAAATTCTAAAAACAAATCTTCCAATTATAAAAAAAAGGCAAGACAAGAGAAGGGGTAACGCCT